GCTGCTTGAAATTTCTCTGGCGTTCCCTTACTTTCTGCATTTCTTCATATTTTCTCGTGCCGTTCCTTTTTTTATAATCTCTTTACATTCCTTATGACTCTTCTGATTGATTTTCTAGAGTACGTTGGTTCAGGCTTTCGGTGGATTTAGTTGATTATGCGTTACGCATTAACGAATCGTGGATCACCGCTCTTCGTATTATTCTAAGTGATGAGTTTTGCGTCTGGCAAGAGTTCCTGCATGTCTCCCCCAGTTTGACATTTCCGGTTGACTGGAATTGACATATCTTTATTTCCCTCCACAAACAAAGCAAACCCTATTGTGGTAAATCCAGTTGTAGCGATTTGTTTTCAATGCCTCAGCGAGATATTTCCGGAAATAATTTCCAGGCGTATCGCAAACGAAACAGAGGGTCACGTGAAATGGTGATGAACATAAAGACCTATTTGACGTTGAGTTACGAATACTCATAATTGATTGTACAAGATTGGTGTTTGTTGCCGACTGATGACACGTTTCTTAGTTGACATTTTTACTAAACGTATTTGTTTTTGACTTAAATTTATGCTATTAATGTCCAGTTAAACTGCTTGTAGCACATCATCTTTATTAGTATTACTACTCCAGTCGCATTAGTGGAACAAATTTACTTGGCTTTTGTCTAATTTCTCGCAACAATTTTTCAGCTCTTCTACATTCTGCTTTGAATGCTGACATGTTGTCGACTTTAATCGCAAAGATGTAGTTTTGACTTTTTACTTGATAAAATTTGATTAATCGCATTTTCCTCTTCATTCTGAACGTCAAATCGTTATTTGCGCTCCATGATTTTGCGAATCAGCTCACAGTCAGAATAGGTTTTTTTATATTGGTGGAGTAATTCTTTCTTAAGAGCACAATAATCAAATGACGAGTCGCTCTCATGATTCTCTAACATTGCCAATTATAAGACAAAGAAACTCAGCGCACAATTCCTTATAGCTGATTTGATTTTCCTTAAGTTCGCAAATAAAGCTCTCAGCAGTGCGACGTTCGCCTGTACAAATAGATATTCTTTCTGTAATTAGTTTCATTAGGTTTAGTTGAAATTTCAAACTGTTTTTGCTATGATTTAGATAGAACATATTATTAGCAAAATAAAGTGTTCTTCTTCTAGGAGTTAATATGACATGACATGCTGCCACTGCATGTGCAGCCTGAGTGTTGCTAAATTCTGTTGTTTAACCAGATTGACTTGATCTAACCTCGAGACTATGCCTTTACTTTTTTAAATTGCCAATCTCAGTCATGTTATTTTAATATATCTACTATCCGGATCTATAGCAATTACAGCAGCGGCTTGTTATTCACTGAAGTTGTTATTTTATTTATTTTTCAAAGATGTGCTGTTGATGTTAGTTGATGGTTTTTCGCTGGAAATTGTAAAATGTTAATCCAATCTTTTTATGAAACTTTCAAACTGCGTACTGGCTAAACGAATGAATTGAAGTTTTTTCAAAGGTACTTTCGCGACTTAGCTGATAGTGTTGAAAGATTTGGGCGAAACGTGTTAATGGTGATGTATTAGACAAGCAAGTAAAATTGTGTTCGATGTTATAATCCGTCTGAAGCTTATATTTGCCAAAAGTGCAACAAAATAACAGCTAGTACTAAACCTATTCTGTATGTATTTTAGCTATAAGCTACTACGAGACTCTCGCGTTACTAAATCAAAGCCTCGAAACCAAGATTTGAAAGTGAACTAACGTTATCGAATATAGAAAGCAACCAAAGAATTAATGTTCCATAGCAAATACGCAAAAGAAATGTTATACTATACGTGTTTTCCGGTTATTATAATGAATAAAAAAATGAAAGTGCCAAGAAGAAATATCCAACGAGCAAATTTAGTTTTTGATTGTCTTACATTCAAAACGAAAGAAATATATAAAAATAACCCTGCAACGATTTGACATTCAAAACTGATGATAGAAATAACTTCATTACAACACTTCATATAAACACATGCAAAGCAAGAAATTCATTTCAATGTATGTGTGTACATATATATACTTGTATATTCAATAGAAGGATCTAAGACGTTATCAGCCATAGTTTTTTTGAAAAAATGCCTTCTATTAGAAATGTTACACTAACGGTGGAACATATTTAAAGGAATGTTTAGTTATTAGTCGTGGCAACGGATTTTCGTATCCTTGGCAATTTGAAAACAATGCCACGGAACGTTTTTCCCTTTCGCTCAATTATGGTTGAAAAGCAAATTTAGTCAAGCATGAAGGACGTTGATAAGAAGGAGTTTATATGCAATATGAATGATTTCAATGGATTTTGAGAAATTGAAAAAAAAGGAAAGGGGTCCCAATTCTTTTTAAAACGGTTGTGGTACGAGGATATATCAAGGATACGTCCGGATATGTACAACACCCAAAAAGACTTGCGAAAACCCCATTTCATTAAACCGATTGATTTAGAAAAGCCTTCTGAATTGATCCAAATTCGTATGTTCACGATGATCTATTAATTTTTTATTCTTATTAAATGTTTCGCATAATTTGTTAACGAAATTTATGTTAAATCTAAGATTTTAAAGAAAAAATTGTAAATATTTAATTCTAAAAACTTAGCGAAGAAGAGATTTTCATTTTTGGGTACTGAGCTTTTATCAATTCCATCGAAATCGAAAGAAAAGTTTGCGGATTTTTGTGGATTTCTTGATTATTCCTAATCAAAGTGATAGCGTCTGCTCTTTAATAAGTTTGACTTGGTGCGAGAGGAATATACATATGACTAATCTTTAGGACGAATCTTTAGAGCACACTAAAAAACAATTATTATTATTAATACAATCAAAATCTTCTACGCAGATGAGCGCCAAGACGGGGGCCAAGCGAACCCCGAAAACCAGGGAGGCAGACGCGTCATAATAGACACAATATATTGTTCAGAATTTTTAATTAATAATGCTGCTTTGTATTTTAAAAAATATTATATAAAAATACCGTTGCTATATAACCGCTGTCCCTCCACCTAAGAATGTTTGTAAGTTATTGCCTTTAGGTTACTGTCAGTTTGACTCGATTCTATGTCACGAATGGTAGGTAGGCACTTTATTAGGATTTGATGATTTTCTTAATATCCTCTCGATGATGCGACTGGAAAAACATAACAATGGTGCGAACATATTCCTTATTAATTGGTTGTAAATCGTATATACCAATGGTTATATTGCAGCTGTGCCAGGCGCTTTCAAGTATTGAATTCGCAGATTTTGCATCGCTCTACTGAACAAAAATCTGAAAAGTGGTCACTTTGAAGGATCCATGATGGATCATGTACGGTGCTCGCAATATCATCAAAAACCTACATCAACAAATTTCAATGTCGAGCTTTTGGATTTTCTCAAATTCCCTTTCTACAGTCACGTCGTGGGGCTTCTTCATGTTTACACCGACCAACTCCATATCTTCAGCGTAACAGTTTGCTGCCGGAAATATTTATATTTAGTCAAATTTCTTATTGGAGGTGTATCTATGAAATTTGCTGTAGCTGCTGTTCATTGTGTCATCAATAAAAATGGTGAAATCGTATTGGATCTAGATCAATAATAAGCCGCAGGTAATCGTGCAAGCTTTACATTTGTGTTTGTTTCGGTGGAAAGACATTTAGTTGCTGTGCATAGCTTTGGCTGTTTTAAAATGCCTTGCAGCGAGCAGCACGTTATTCGATTTTTATCATGAAGTTATGCAAAAATTTCATAACAAAACTAATACACCGTTTAGAGATAATTCCAATCCTGAAAGTGCTGAAAAAAAAAGACTTTAATAAAACTAACTAAGAAAAAGCATGTTGGGGTTGAAGCGACGCTTGGCTTTAACAATATGTGCGATTTTATGACAATCTTTTCAGTTGTATACTTTGTTAAAAATTATGCGGCTCCACAGGAAGAAGATAAAAAATTTTTTATATTTTCACGTTTACTAATTCTTATTATATAAGATGAGGAAATAATTCTCTTTTTATTGACTTCTTTTATATAGCATTTGGCTCCGACTCTTGAATGTGAAGTTGGTTAATTTCGGATAGTAAGCTGGGCATTTTATGTTTATATATGGTTGTGCATAATTGGGATAGTATTGGATGTGTTTATAGGATGGTGTTGTTTGACTTATTTTTTGTTTTCAATACTTGGTTAAAAGTTGCGTATGTGTTTGGGGGGTAGCTGGAATTTAATACGGTTTGGGCAGTCGCATTAAACTTACAGTACATTCATATAGCACATTCTATTAATTGTCCTTTAGGGTTTTATCGAAAGTTTTTTATGTAATATCTTGTTCACAACGGTCTTTATAATTTGCGGAAAATGGGGTATGATTTTGGCTGCCAAATCAGGCATTATTTTCTTCTAAGGGTTTTTTTGTTTCTTTTGCCACGTCTTTTGGTAAAAGTTTTTTCATTTTTGGTCTAAATGCTTCACGTTTTTTATTGTTTGTATTCTTTTTTGCAGTTCTTTATATAGGCAAGTTTCGTGTCTATTGTTTCTTATACCCTCTATTGAGTTGTTTTTCCGCATTCGTTAAAAATCTGGCTATACTTGTAATGGTTTCCTTTACTTATTATTAAGAATCTATTGAGAATCATAGGCGATCATTTTCAGTTGGCGGCAAATTTTTCTACTTTTTAAAGGCAATTTTTATACAAGTACATGTTCAAGTATTGAGAATTATAAACAAATGTGGACGCTTATTCTCAGATGTTTGGAATTTTTATACAAATTATTGAGAATCTATTGCGAATCATAGACGCTTATTTTCTTATTCATAAGTAAATAATATTATAAATATAATGCACGATGTATTTAATTCAAAAAATGTGATATATACTTAAACTAATGTAATAATTAATATAATTTTTAATATTTACTTTATATATTTAATGTACATATATCTTATTGATAAGTATATAATATTGTAAATATAGTGCATACGCTAAGCTATAAACGGACGTCTTTTACTTTTTGTTTGCCGGAGAGCGAAGGTAATTTACACATTTATGGCAATTATTTAAATTTAATTTCGCTTTTTGCAGATCGCAAAGGTAATTCCTTGTTCGCTGAAGTTGATCAGCGCCAAGCCATGAAAACGCTGCTAAACGTTCAAAAGAAAAGTTATTTAGAAATGAAAAAGATCTACAGCGAAAGCGAATATGAGATACGTCATTTAAAACGTGAAAATACTTCTATGCTATTCTGAGTTGGAGGCATGCAGCTCAATATTTTGTTATGTAGATAGGGCTTATCAAGGTAAAAAGACACATTTCGTTGCAAGATACATATTTCAAATGAATAACTTTTCTAGAAAAACTAAACCAACGTATGCAACGGCTACCAAGTGAGAACGATGGCCGGTAGCTCGTCTTCAGAATATGACGTATAACGGACAGGCAAAATCCTCAAAATAATCGAGCGGGTGGTGATTGAGCGTTAAGTGAAATTTTTAATTTCATATCAGCGAACGGTTATCAAGTTGTAATTAGTGGTGCTAGTCATGCGGCAAATGAAATCGGAAAAATTTCCCATAATTCAAGGCGAGTTAGCACGGTACAAGCAGCCTAAAAAAACGCAGAAGTTAACCTGGAACAAAGCAGCAAAGCCTTCAATAGTGCTAGCAGCTCATCTTAACACATTCGGTTTGTTTAATGAGTATCCATTAGATGTTGATGCTGCCGTTTTGATGGCTTTAGCCGACATATTCATTTAACTCCACAATATGCTATACGCAACGCGCCCTTTGTTTGGTGATTTGTAATACATGCGACGACAATATGGTTCAGATAAATGATGCTCTAATCAAAAATCATTTTGCTTTATATGATCCAGAGTGGGAAGAGTGCAATTTTAAAAAGCTCTGCACTCTAATATCAATGCTGTTACATAATTCCTAATTAATTTTTACCATTCATTTTTACCATAACGGAAAACGCTTACGTCATCCGCGAGAAGACTTCCCAACATTAGATTCTTTTTCTTTTTTAATCTTTGATGTGTTTGCAATTTTTCTGTATATATTGTGACTGTTTAATAATTATTTGTAGTTTTCTATTAAATTCGTGTTTAATGTTTGCAAAATAAATTACGTTTGTTTCTTTTTTTTGATACACGAATAATATACGGCGCTAGAGATAAGGTTAATGAATTTCATTCACAGGTGATTTCCGAGATGAAATGAAACGTCATAGCAGACATCTTCGTGTCTCCAATCAAGAACAATGCCGAGCGTGTGCTTATTCCCCAGAAGTCGCAAGTACCATATCATCCCGTTGGCTGTGAGGATATCGAGGCTCCAATCCAGAAGAGGAATGTTGCCGCTCGGAGCAGATATCACTGACAGGAGCCTATTAACGGGCAGTTGAACACACCCAATGAGAGGAATTCATCAGAGTCTACTCTCCGGAATTTGGTGTAAAAACTACAGATTTCAGATTCCCGATTCGTTTATGTCGTCGCAGAATTGTAACCCCAACGGGACCTTTAAATTAACGAGTGACCCAGAAAAGGGGGCGTCGGTTATACAAGAGCCAATCCCAAATATCCTATACCCATCAGCGTAGATAAATGGAACTATGTTCCTCTCAGAGTGAAGGATCAGGAAGCTCAAGCCGCAACCGTTTTGACGTGTGGCATCTACGTCAACTCTAAGCCTGCCTAGCCCACCTGCCTGCTTAATACATCGTTTTCTTTTTGCTCTCTTTTTTAAAGGAATTTACATATCCAGATGATCCATTTTTTCTTCCTTGGCACCTTCCTTCATTTGGCCATCATCAAAAAAGTTCTATTCAATACCGCACATCCTCCATATGAACGCTTATTTCCACCTTCGGTTATTTCAATACAATACTTTACGTAGATTATGTACAAAATAAATTTATCTTTAGTAACTATCGAAAATTTCTTCTTCGTATTCTTCGTTAATTTACAAAAAAAATATTTGTTCGTATTTAGGGAAAATATTGAATTATAATAAATAATTATGTAATGAATTAAAAAGCAATGGTTTTTTAAATTCTTATAAAAGTATTTGAAGGTTTTAAGCGTTATTTGCGTGTAAACTGTACATGTTTCAATATATTTGATTTAATTTGCTCAATTTTTTTTTTGTTTTGTTTGTGAACATCATTTAGGATAAAGTCAAATAATTCATTTGTTGAAATTTGATGCATACATTTTGTAATAAAAGTTAAGCTTAAAACCTTAAAACCCCTCTTTGTTTTCATTCTTAACGTTAAATAATAACAATAATAATAATTAGCCATTTGTAATGTTATGGGTACCAAGTCACATCGGTTTACTGGGAAATGAGCAGGCTGATCGAGCGGCAAAGTATGCTTCTTCTGCTCCTCTAATTATGGATGATGTCATGGAAAAGTTGGATCTTCAAAGATACATTGGAAGAAAAGTTAAAGCGAAAATTGCAGAAGGAAATTTAAAATGCCATCATCAACGCTACTCTTGCATTAACCCTCAATTAACTCCACCTCTATATCCAACAAATGTTGAGAAAACCAAGATCCAAACATTCTCGAGAATTCGCCTTGGTCATACAATTGCAACTCACCAATGGATTCTAAAGAAGTCTTCTTCCCCAATCTGCAGTTGTGGACAAACTCTTACTATAAAGCACATTCTCTGCGACTGCCTCAACTTTTCCTTGGCTAGAAGTATTGCATTTGGAACGATTAACCCTTTGAACATTCTACAATCAGCTTCAGAACAGAATATCAATTCTGTTCATTACTTTATTAATACTACTAAGCTCATTATCTAATGCACATTTTATTTTTCTTTTTTATAATTAGAGCCGATAGCCTGTGTTGCTAGTGCTCAATGTCTTTTTTTTTAGTCTAAGAATTAATTTCATTAGTCTAAAATTAAAATAATAATAATAATAGCCATTTGTAAAAAGTATTTATGTGTGCTACATATATTCACACCAACTCCCACGACAAGAGAAATTCACGCACAAGTTTACGTTAACATATTCATTGATGCTTTCTAGCTTCACTCTGACTTCGATTGTGGCACATGTTTTCCTGTTTTACTTGTTTTGCGTCTATGTTTGTCGTGAATACGGATTCTCGTACTGCAAACCAGTTACATTAAACAAAACCCACCCGGTTAACCTCTGTTTAAGCCACACAAGCATTGAGGTTTTTTTTGTTGAAATGGTATTTAGGCACTTGAACCAGAATGCTGATTAGACAAATAAGCGTGAATTTGATTTGACGTGATTTATTCATCTAACTTGTTCAATAAAAAACAAGGTGCGTATGTACTAAATAAATAGGTTATAAATAATATACAAGAAAATTGTTTGTCCAAGGCAGCACCGGATGATAGTATCATCTTTATTTGGATAAAATGTGCTGACACGTATAAACAGTATCGCAAGTCGTTGTTCATAGGCTATTTTAATATAATAACATGAATGGATGAAGGATGTATAATATGCATACACATGCATATACATGCTGACGTGCATAGAGTTTTCTAATATATAAAAAACAGGAAAATGTCAACGAACAAACGTTAATTGCATGATCGTATTTCGCATACCTTGCATATATGCATATGTATACAAAAAAGTTGACAAACAGTAAACTGAGCGGACAAACCTACGACAGACCTACCGCAATAACGTGCAACAAGACAAGTTAAAATAAAAAGTGAGGGTACATATGCATATCTAAACATGAACACCAGCCTTATATTATACAGAGGCTTTGGACCTTTTCTATTTTTTTTTATAATTCCTTTCTTTTATTTTAATTACTACACTAAGGAATTATAAAAGGGAAACCATGTTTCCGGTGCTCCGTAATTTTCATGATATATGGCTCTTTCGCAAAGAATAACAATAAAAGCAGACCGACAGAAACCCACTACACCTATATACGTGGACATTACAAAATTTAACTTAATTTGATAGCTTGATAAGTGTAGGCTTGTCCACTTCAATTCGGCGGAACTCCTACCATTACATCTTATAGAACATCATTTATCGGTGCTTTGTCTTCGTTCTTCAAGTATGTTAGCAAACAACGATAAAACTTTTCCTTTTTTTTATTCTTTCGTCTTGCTTTTCACCAAGTATTTATTTATATAAAAGTTTCTCCATACGGTGAGCATACTTTCTTATGTTAATGTATTTTATGAGCTTCACGTTTCGTATATAAAATTGAATTTATTTGTACAGTTCTAGAATTTTAAGCTAATAGCTATATCTGTATACGTGCATGTAATATATTTAGGCTTTTTCGTTCCTTTGCTTAGGTTCACTGTTCCTATGTTGTGTCTCTATTGCCATCCCACTATATTTTCTCTTATATTTTTCTCGATCAAGCTCATTTGAAAGGAAAGGGACAAGTTATTCCAACAGAAAACATGACGACTATATTTGACCCGCTATTTGCTTTTTTTTTGTGAATTTTTATGTATACCACTTACAAATATATTTTATTTATTTATTTATTTATTTATTTTATTTATTCCACTCAACTAAACAAATAACAGTCGAGTTCAATTGGCTCTTAATGCAAAACTTATATTAATTAACAATAAAATTGAGTAGAAGCATAATAAAACAAATAAGAAGAAAAAAAAAAAGAAAAAAAAGCATGTACACTATCAGCATAGGAGCACACTTACAACCGGTACAGGACCAAATTGCAAATGAACCCCTAAGCCATCGCAAACATGCATAGGCCTGGCAACCGATAATAAATTGACAATAATTCACTTTCGAAACGTAACGACTTTTTAAGGATAAAAGCTAGTTTAAATACGACGTAGGTAAATCGCGCGTATTAAGCAATGTTGCTTTAATGGACTTTAAAGAGTCCGATAACGAGAATAAGTGGTAGACGTCATTTAGGTTCTTGCAAAAGACTCTGAGCGGATTTAACAGCTCATAATTAAATTTACACTGATTAAGCGTGACCAAGTTACTGCCAAATCCGACGTTCCACCCTTACTTTCCTTGCCTATGGGCAAGTTACGCTATTATGATAGTGTATTTGTAAGCAAAGGCAAAGATTCATTTTTTAGTATTAATGCATAGTATAAATTAAGCATTGCTAATTTCAAATAATATATCATTAACTATAGCTTGAACATACCAGAAGTAATTAAAAATGTCTACTGATTCCCAAAAATATCACTTTTAAAAGAAAATTTTGCACTTTAATAATTTCGCACTTGATCTTTAACGTTTACGTAAGCAAGCGGTGATTTTGATAGCTATGTGTTTGACTGATTTCGTTTTGATTATGTTTAGCACTTAACTGCGCTAGTTTGAGTTTTTTGCACACCTCTCCATTATTTCACATTTACATTTCAAGTAATTTGAAAATATTACAAGTAAAATAAACAAAATCAAACGTTAACTAAAAGATATGTGATCACCCCCGGAACGGTTTCCTAATCTTCTTATCGTGTGAATGTGTCTAGCGATATTTTTCACTTTCTAATATTTATTGTATTATGCTGCTCTATATTTAAAACTCTACCGTGTTTGAGATTTCAATCCGCGATTATTAGTTGTTAGTCACGGCCCATTACCTACTCGGCTATTTATTCTATTATGTAATGTTTTTGTAACATATGTGACAATATTCAATAATAAGGCAAAAATTGGGTGGTTTTTACTCTTATTAAATTCAACGCAAACAACATCGATGCGACATCGCATAAACAGCGGCTATCAAAGCGTTGAAAAATAGCTACTAGAAAATAGCGGACACCATGTGCAGCTGATTACAATAGAAATCATTACATCCTACACCACTGGTGCTATAGAGAACGCTGTTGAAATTAGTTCACTTTTTCGACCACTAATATTAAATGTAATATCGAAAATTTGGCGGCGAAAGGGGCTAAATAGTATTATTTCGGTATTCTACTTTGGTATGAAAACTTTGGACCGGCTGGGTAATTTTTGAATACCTCCCCCCTTAGATCTCCAATGGCACTTCATACTA